TACACTAACACTATGTGACAGCACTGACTGGGGTACACTAGATAACACAGTCACTTCAGCAGTACTGACACTATGCAGTACACTAATCCTGTGTTACAATGTGTCTGTGCAGTGTGGAGGCGCGGATGTGACAGTGTGTCTGTGCAGTGTGGAGGCACGGATGTGACAGTGTGTCTGTGCAGTGTGGAGGCGCGGATGTGACAGTGTGTCTGTGCAGTGTGGAGGCGCGGATGTGACAGTGTGTTTGTGAGCTCACCTGCAGCTTGAGCAGCTCCTGGGTGCAAACCTGGTCAGGCTGGAGAACCTCTCCCCTGGACTTCAGCTCCACCATCCTCTGCTCCAGTTCCCGCACGCTCTCCTCAGCCTCCGCGATGGTCTGTGGGGGAAGCGGGACATCAGACTCACGGAGAGGAGGAGTCACGGGGAAGCAGGGGGGCGATGCTGTATCTGCGAATGACTGCTTACCTCGGCCTGTTTGGGGGCCGGCCTGTCCATGACCTCCGCCAGCCTCTGGAGGGCGTGACGCTTCGTCTCCGCCAAAGCTGTGAAGAGCAGCCGCAGCTCTGTCTGGAGACGGGAGAGACGGCGTCGCATCAGTGTCACTAAGCACAGACTACAGACACGAGTATCAGTACCAATTAGCAAAGTCTACAGACAAAAGAGGTAGCATTAGCACCAATTAATAAAGCTCAGAGGCACAGGAGATAGTAATATTATCAATTACCCAAAAAAGTTAGCATTTGTACTTTTATGACAGATGGAAGGTCATAGTCACAGTGGCAGGCAAACAGACAGACTGACACTGCGGCAGACAGACAGACATGCATGAACTAATCCCACCTGGAAGGAGCTGAGCTCCTGCAGCCTCCTCCTGGTCTCCTCACAGCGCTGCTCCAGCACCGAGTCCAGGGTCTCCAGCCGGACATGCAGGTAGTCCAGTGCCTCCTCCATCGGAGCCTGCGCCTCCTTGCACAGCCCCGCCGAGTCCGCCACCAGCTTCCTGCTCCGCCCCACCTCCTCCTCCACCTCTCGGACATCCTTCCCGAGGGCCTGCCGGATTGGGAACACGTCCCTCAGTAGCCTGACCCCCAAATCACTGCAGAAAGCGCTCAAGGGTACGACAGCAAATTTCCCATTGGATCCGCCATTCCACCACCGCCTATGGGACTCCAGGTCCTTTGGGGGGGCGGGGAGCTCACCTCCTGGTTACACAGCTGAGCCTCGGCGCCCTCTGCCAGCAGCACGTGCCCGGAGAACAGGCTGCTCTCCACATCGTCCGTCCAGGAGGAGGCGGAGCAGACAGCTGAGTACAGCTGTTGCTCCAGTGACCTGCCCCTCTTCTCGGTGACCCCTGTCTGTATACAGGAGACATACATGAATCAGTGAACAATTTGGAGGTGGGCGAGGCTTCTGGAGGTGGGCGGGGACAAGTCCACATTAGTACCAATGAGGAGGCCTCCTGGAGAGTGTCGTTGAAATCTTCAAACAGAGTCCTGATGGAGGACTTATCCAGAACAGAAGGCTCCTCTTTGTAGACGGAGCTGGGCGTGCTGACACTGCTGGCTCTGCTGTACACCTGGAGAGGCGACAACACGGTGGAAGATCTCCCAAAGCTTCATTATGATAACAAAACACATGACTGTATGAGCATGGGGGGGGGGGTCATGGATCTCCAGGGGCGGGGCCAAGTCAGGTGACAAGCTGCTTTCGCTTGCACTCAGTTACCTGTGGAATCATCTCTCATCAAGCTCCTCTGCCACATACACAGCAATCCTGAGCCACCAGCCCAGACGTTGTTGACATTTACATTTAAATCCGCAGACACTTTGTGCCACTAGGACAATCAAGCCCTAGACTTGACTCCTGTTCACTGACGTACACGTGAGGAAAGCTTGGGGTCAGATATCAGGGCAGCTGGGCTGGAGGGTCCTGCTCAAGGCCCAACAGGTATAAGACTCATCCGCCAGCCATGGGACTTAAACCCATAACATTCCAGACACATGCATACATCACTAACCTGCTGAGAGATATAATCCCCCATTACATTCTTTCTTTCATGTAGTCCAAATAAGGTCCCTGTTTCTACTTTGTGACATAATTTTACACAAATCTCTCTGCTGTCCCAATGGGAAAATGTGACAGCTATGTCAAACGTGAGGTTAAGAGACAGCTTAGGACATGTGTCTCAGCCAGCTACTGGAGGCAGTGACCCGTACCGGCATGCGATGGTCCTGCTCCGCCGTGTTCTGCAGCAGCTGTAGTTTGGTGTTCAGGTCCCTGCTCAGGTCCTCCCACCTGTTCCTGGTTTGGTCGGCCAGCTCACCCTCTGCGTGCTCAGGAGGAATGCTGCCCAACACGCTGCAGATGGGGGGGCATAAACACCGCAGTTAAGACAAGATATCAAACAGTTAGATGAGAATACACAGCACAGTCACACTGAACACAGCACAGTTACACTGGAACATAGCACAGTTACACTGGAACACAGCACAGTCTGACGAAGTAGACCAGTATTACCACTGGGTCATGGCACAGTTAAGGTACATCACCCGTAGTCAGGATATAGTTGTGTTAGGGTGACACTGCGCAGAGTGAGCCCAGAGTAGAGCACAGGTGAGGGATGATTACAAACAGGCCTCGCTGTGCTGGTGGCATGAAGCAGGTGGGCATACCCCGAGCCATTGGGCGTCATGAGCTCCTTCCCCAGGTCGGCCACGGACTGTAACACCTTCTTCTGCTCAGCCAGCTGCTCCTCCAGTTCCTGGAAGGTGGAGAGCACTTGTGAGTCATACCACACGCTACTCTAACGCTATGCTAATTCTATACTTATGGTATGCTAATGCTACCCTAATGCCCCCTGAGTGTCTCACAAGCAGGGATTCACTCGGCTCGCAGCAAGTGTGCAAAGCAGACCTCCAGATCTACATATCAGCCAGGTTGGCTTCCTGCCACCCAGAGCACCAACACACCTTTTGCCTTTGTAGGCTGTCCTGGTGCTGCTGGCAGCGTGTGGACCGGGCCTGGGCTAACCAGTCCTGTACACTAGGGCTCTGGGAGAGCCCCGAGTCTGGCTCGCTGATCTCCTGTTCCTGGAGGGACCCCTGTTGGGAAGACGGGTCACGGGTCAGATATCAGAAACCATAAAATACATGCAGTGTACCTCCTAACCATCAGATGGCACTGCTGCAAAATGTATAAGCTGCACAAAGGAGATAGCTAGATATCTGATAACAGCAGAATCCAATGTTTCTCTGCCAGGGTATACAGGAAGCATTTCTATAATTTTATTGGTGGGTAGCCAAGCCTCTCAATGCTGGCAGAGTCACTGAGTTCATGAAGCAAAACTATTTAATAAGCCAAAGCCTGCCTCAACAATACTTCAGTATTGACAGAATCACAGACGATCCATCACAGGGTTCATATACACACACACAATGGGCAATTTACAGATGGCAATTAATGTGACTGCATGCCTTTTGGATAGTATCCAGAGGAAACAACACAGAGGAACAAGCAAGGTCCACACACAGAAGTGGCATTCGAACCTGCAACCCTGGAGGTGTAAGGAAACAATGCTACACACTGTTAGGGTGGCTACCTAATTCATCTCAGGAGGGACACTATGAACTACTTCAGGTTTTACCATCCTGAGGTAGTCTGAGACACCGATCCTCAACAGGAGACTCTAATACACATTGTAATGGGGTACGTTTTCTTTTGGACTTCAGTATCAAGTCGAGTCAGGTGTGGAACATGTCCGGGCCCCCTGGGAGCAGCTGAACGCAGCTGACTTAACACATTAACTAGCTGTACACGAGTAGGTCTGTGGCACAGACGGCTGAGACAGTGGGCTGCCGCTGGGACGGTTAGGGAGAACGTTCTGGCACTGAGCAGCGCAGCGAGCAGAGGTGGTATGATAAGCTGAAACAAAGGAGATAGTGACCCTTTGTGATTGGGGGCGGTGGCAGAAGTTCCCCTCAGTGCTGATCCAGGGGTGGGGGAAGCACTCAGCACACACACACTCCCAGAACTCCCAGAATGTCATCCCAGTACACATACTGTGCTTTGCCAGGGTCACCGCTTCCCTAAGGCCTCAGAGTCACTGGCTGCCTGTTAATCACTGCCAGGTAACCAACAGGAAGTGGATTAATCTATTCAGTCATGACAGAACACTGACAGACGGAGAGCCTTGCTCTCATTGGCTGACAGTAGACCTGCCCATGTAAGACTCCCCCAATTATATCCTCTGCTGCTGGTATGGATTTCCATAATTATGTTGTTAATAAAAACAAAAACTATTTTGGTTTGATAAAAGCTGCTAAAACCATGTGAATCAGTTATTCAGCCACCTTGGTCTGGGTACAATAATTGGATCACAAGAGATTAGCAGTTATTTGTGACATATAAATGAGCATCACGGCGTTATCACAGCACAGACGTCAGAGCTTGGTCTGCTAAACATGGTGAGGATTTGGAAAATGACTTTGACTTGCTGCTACATCGCCACAGGCAAGGAACACACACAGACACATGTGAGCATGCGTCTGATACAGCGAGGAAGAGAGGGGCATCTATCAATTAATGTGCTGTTTGCCTCACTGATACATTGCTTTAGACAAAAGCGTCTGCTAAATGAAATGAAATGTATCACCGTATGATATTCAGGTCACAGAATACAAGACACGCTTCCCCAAAAACTAAAAGTGCAAACGATTATTCTTTTTTTCTTACATCGGGAATGTCTGATCTGTAAGGCCCTTAATGACTGAGTCAGCCAGAGTATAAAGAGAATCAAATCAGGAAGATTTGAACGGAACAGGAACAGGAAATGGACTGAGGGGAGCTCAGGCAGCAGGAAGTGAAGAAAAACCTGGAAAGGTGAGATGAGGAAGAGGGTGATGAGGAGCAGGGAGCCGGACCCACCTGGATGCTGACCTGCTTGTCCTGCAGCATCCTCTGCAGCTCCATCAGGCTCCCCTTAAGCGTGTGCAGTTTGTGGGCCAGCTGCTCGGCGTCCCTGCGCGTGTTTGCACGCCCCTCCAGCACCAGGCTCTCGCTGTGCACCGACAGCTCCGCCAGCGACGCCACTTTCCGCTCCATCTCCAGCAGCATGTTCTGCAGCAGCAGGAAGAGGGAGGTCAGCTGAAACGTGGCGCCGTCCCCAGAGCTGCGGCCCGCCGCCGGGGGGGCGCTCACAGGCCGGGGGGCCCGGGGCCCGCCTCGCCGGCTGCCGCACAGGCTCCCCGTCCTCGGTTCCACGAGCGCCTGCTGCTTTTGGATCCTCCCACGCCCTCACGTAGTGGAGGGGCTGTACACTACGCTCCCGGCCTAAGCCAACGCTGGAGTGCTTTTCCAGGCTCGCTCTGCCGCTGGCCACAAAGCACCGGCCCCCGTGGCTCCGCCCCTTCCATTCACACGCCAAAGACAAGAACGAAGGGCCCATTCAGCAGCCCTGAATGGACAGTGTCCATGACACACCCCCCCCCCGTATTCTCTGATATGCATATAGGCCCATCCCGCCTCCTGAAAACAGCCCGCCAATCTGGTCCCACGGCTCAGCCAGGCCGCAGACAGACGTCCTTGGCCAAGGCCAGATGGAGATCAACCTCATGGAGACACGGGGCTAATCTGCTTAGTAAGCTAAGCCCTGAACCCCAGGACCTGAGCTCTGAGGCCGGGGACGCGGCCACTCTGGGCCAGTTCATCCCTTAGCAGGCTGGCATGTGACCCCAGACAGAGGCTAACAGGGGCCATGAAGCAGGGCTAACATTCCCCCTTGCGATGCTCTGTTGGCATAGCAACAAAGTCAGGAAAATGCTAAGGAACTCCTCCCAGGAGAAGGAGGACGGCGTAAATCTCCCCTCACAAAGACAGTGGCCCGGGTCCCTTTCAGGGTGACACTTTGGGTGTGTGCTGTGACCCCCCCCCCCCTTACTGTCTCCTCTCCGGGAGACAGATACTTCTCAGGTTTTTCAGAATACCTACAAAAGCTACTGTATGCTTTTTTGTGCTGGGGTCCATCTGAATATCTCATTCTCATTTCTCTGTTCAGAACAAATTTATTATTGTTATTGTTGTTACAATTCTTAACTTACGCGTTCATCGAGAGTGACTAAGTTACCAAGGAGAGGGATATTTACTTGAGCAGTTTAGTTACCTTGCTAAACAACCAAGTTACCAATTACCGATACGCAGCCGGTATATGTACCGATTCCGAAATTCAAAAATATTAGTTCGGGAAAAAAAAGCATGCACAGAATGAGTACTCTTGATTGGCTGATTGACTGTGAGGGGGCGGGGCTGTCACACCTGCTAGACAGCGTATGAGACGCAGACTTGAGGTGTGCAGTCAGGGGGGCTGCTCACCTGACAGTCGATGAGCTGCTCCTCCATGTCCATGTCCTGGGGGTGTGGCTGCAGGGCGGCGCTCAGGGCGGAGCTGAGCGCCGCACGCGTGCACAGCAGCCAGTGGTCCAGCTCATCGGCCTCGTTGCGGTATCTCTGCAGGGCCTGCTCCTGCCGCTGCTCTTCTAGCTGCTCGCTCAGAAGCTCCTGTAGGGGGCGCCAAAGCGGCACCCATCAGACCATGCATTTTTTCTTCTTCATTAGCAACCTCTGACGTTCCGGTTCCTTAAGCAGTTCCCAGCTCGCCTTTCTGACCGAACTTGACACCTATTTCCGGTATCCAGGCTACGTCTCCTCCTCCTGCCTCCAGATCCTTCGAGGACGGCGCACACCCCCCAAATAAAACCCCCACGAACGGTCAACGTCATGCCAAAAAGCTAGACAGCTCAGAATAGTGGACGGAGCTCTTCATAATCCAGTTATCTGGACACATGTGGTTCTTGTGAAGAAAGCAAAGCGGGCGCAGATTTTTAATTCAAAGTCTGGAACCATATCTTGCTTTTGTTCGTGATTTTAGCCCCGTCTCCTGACTTGCAGAGCAAGGAGCTACATATCAGCATTAGCACCCACACGCAGGAGAGTCGGGGAGGTTGGGGGGGGCAGACTGAGTGGAGAGACGGACTGTGGGAGGAATAAATGGGAGTGATGGGGTGGGGAGGGGGCAAGACTAGCTGACTAATCAGCCTCTACAGTCAACCCCAGACAGGAAGACTCAGTTCCTCACCACGGCGGGGGGGAGGGGCTTTGAGGCCCGGGGGGGCAGTGGATGTGAACTACAGAGAAACCCTTCTTGCTGCTTAGACAAGCCACGTCAAGCCGAGTCCTAAAATTACAGTCGTTATTCTGGTGGGGTTCTAGCCTGACAGCAATGTCACTGCTGATATTTACCGAATCAGTCCCGATAATGAGAGGATTGTGAAGTGGAAAGGAAGGGGCTGGGGGATGGAGAGGGGGCCCTACCTCCAGGAGCTGCCTCTTTCCAGATGCCTTCATGCGGATGGTGGCCATCCTCTCGGCCAGCACCGTCAGGGTGGACTGCACTGCCAGTTGGTCGGCTGAGTCTGCATCGGGGCCGTCCACCGCCAGCTCCTCGCCGAAGCGCAACTGCAGATCGCTGATCTCGTCCTGGAGCATCAGGATGTCATCCATCAGGGCCTGGGAGGGGGGGGGTGCAGGAACGGGGGTCACGAGGATCACTACCAGAGGAGTAACATTCCCCTAAAGCCGTGTCACCGTAAACAGAGGCCGCTTCTCAATGACAGGCAGAGTGTGACATCCTGACGTATTGTCACCGTCAAATTCAGGTATAATATCTCATTGATACGACATCATATTCTCCAAGCTAGTGATATGATAAAAAACTGAACAAAAGTAACATTCACTGAAGGAGAATTCCACTAACAAACAAGACACGTGAGAAAATGGCACCTTTGACATGAAGACCATATTGCATACTTACAGTACATTCGATCTTAATGGCCTAGATTGATCTTTCACCGTGAATCTAGAACATTTCCTAAACCCCAGCAGATCAAACCCCCAAATTCTCTTTCGCCCACTCTCTCCGCTCCACTGGGCCGGAAAGGGGGGCAGACCTGGAAATTCACTCCACTCTTCTCTCTGCGTATCAACTCTAACCCTGCTAAACTGTATATTACTGTGATTTACCTCACTCCCCCCACCCTCAGGCCTAACAGGCAATGTCCTTCAAGAACCAGACTTGCTGCTGATGGCCATCCCTAGCGGTGGCCTTCACTTGTCGCCCTCGATGACCTGAACGCCCTCCTTGATTAACCACTGGCATCATTTTTCCTGTGCTGACTCATCAGACTGGAAACCAACTGGACCACATCCTGATGCAGAACCGTGACCGAGTAGCTGCTGACTTCTCATCACCCTCTTCATTCCTCCTGGTCTCCCGCTGCACGTCCCGCTCTCTCTCCTCCTTGAGTCTCCTGCTCTAACCCTTCTTCCTTCTCCCATAGTTTCTCCTTGTTTCTTGATTGGTCTCTTCTACCCTTCCCTCCGTTGACCAATGTCTGTTCCCTTGATGTCAGTGAAGTCCCCGAAACAATTGGTACCCCTTCAACCTCTGGCTCTCCAGGCATCCATGGAAGAAGCTCAGGATGACTGAGAGGAAGTGGTGGAAACTTGAGACTTGTGAATCTGAGGGTCAATCACTTATCTTCTACTAACATCACTGATGCTATAAGCACCTTCTAACCAGACACATGTAAATTATTTGCCCCCCCAGCACCCAGCAACCTGACTGCCGATGACTTTGCCACATTCTTCCAGAAGCACAAGTTACTCCCAGCCAGTCTTCTGCACTCATCACCCACCCCCCCAATTTGCACAGACTCCAGCTTGGATCACCAACAAGGTCTTCTGGGCCCCGAGGGGTAAGAATAGATGTCCAGCTATCCTTTGCTGGCCACATTCCAGATCAGATGTTAGTTAACAAAATATCCAGTTCAACTATTTCAGGCACTTGACTAGATGACTAGACTACTATAATGCTTGACTGACAGGCAGGACAGCATGTGCTCTTAATCCACTGGAGATGATTCACAATGAAGCAACACATTTGATACTCAACTAGCAGAAATGCTCTCACGTTACATTTCTCCTCATCTCGCTCTATTTTCATCTCTCTTTATTTTTCTCATTTTTATTGTCACCCAATAGTCCTTGGTGCTGCTTTCCAGCGCTGTTTATGGAAGAGCACCTACCTTTGCTCATCAAGCTTAAAGTTCCAGCTTGTCCCTTTTAGTCAGTAAGTCAACACTGCTTAGTGCCTCTATCCCCTCCATTACGCAAAAATAATTCTGATTACAAAGTCAAATGAGTTCCACTCACGTGGTCAGCAGAAACCCTCTTAGCCTTTAAGAAATGCCTCAAGATACAACTCATCTGACCCCTGACCTCTTCTGCATTTTCATTGGCTTTCTCTTAGTTATGATCTCTTGGCAACACTAGTTTTCCTGCATTCTATACCTTTCTAGTAGGAACTTGCATGAAATTCAGCCCAATAGACACTTATACATATGCAGAGTGTGAAGGTAACACCATAAGCGGCTTCTCTGCGGACACCGGCAGATTCTTGAAGTGGGCTGGTCGATCCTGCAGTTACCCTCACCTGATGAGCCGCCATCTGGCTCTCGGGGGTCCGGTCTGACCCCGGTCCCTCATTTAACCGGACCTCCACGGACTCCATCTTGGTTGAGATGGACTGTAGGGCATCCTGGTAGCCCTGCTGCCTCTCCAGAGCTTCATACAGGGTCTTCTGCTTCTCACTGATCTGCAGAGGTAGGGGAGCTTGCACTTAGGGGGCCATAACTTTACTGTGGTTCCACTATAATACTCTGGTAGGTGGATGCCAATACATTTACAGTGCTTGGAGTTTTGTGTCTGATTCACTACTGTAAAATAGCTAAAGTCATATCTTTTTCTGACATCATCTAGATTCTGAGATTACAGCATGGATGGAGCAGTGCTACACCACAGATCAAATGAGTACAACTTGTTTTTCAGTGAGATACCCACAATCATCCTGAATCCAACTATGGTCCTTCAGATCTCTGGCTGAAAAATCATGCACGTCCCAAGAAAACACTGCAACACTCACCACATTCTTCAGTGTCTCCCAGGATTGCTGCAGGTCATCCAGATTGGCGGTTGAGATGCAATCCAGCGTTGATTCAAAGAGGTCTGGGGGAGGATCCCGGTCAGGGGAGGAGCGGCCTGGAGCTGCCTGTGGGTGGGTAGGAGAGAGTGGGGAAACCATTCTGAGATAAGATCCAGAGCTTACGGCTGCAGCAGCACTGAACTAGGGCAAAAGATTCCCAAACACAGCCCAACTGTCTGCATACCAGTAGGTCTTCTTTTATCTCAGCTACTCAATATCTGTTGATACTTTGTATCCTGTCAGATATACCCAAGTCTTATCAAGCAAGTGGTTTACGGTGAAGTACAGGCTGATAATGTGATCGACGTCTGACTGACACGAGGGATGCATCCTAAACTCTGACCGGTGCAAACAGATGAGGCCATGAGACTCTGAATGAGGTGGCACAGGCAAATGAAGGAGACACCTGGAGAAGATGGAGCTTGTGAGCGAGAAGACACAAGGAGACACGCACTTGACACACATTACGAAGAGGAGCGTCTACAAAGCGCATATAGGAGGCAGTCCATTGTCCCTGCTAAAGAGCAATCTAGGAGCACGGCTAAGCATGGGGGCAGGGCAGAGGTGAAAGGTGAAAGGTGATTTCAGGGGGCAGCGACAGCTGTGGCTGAAGCTCTCCGGGACCCCTGGGATGTTCTCAGTGGGGCATTTCTCGGTAAAGATAATACATGAGGAAGTGTAGATTCCGTATTTGACCTGCTCTTTCTGGGAAGCTACAGCTTGGATTTTATGGAGAATGTAGGAATCAGGCAGGGAAAGGCAAAATAAGCCAGATCAACAGGGGAAAAAAGATATCATGCACGGCCACAAGGGTGGGCTGTACGACTTCACCTGGATTGACCAATCGCACTGCAGTGCTACAATGATGGTTGTAGAAAGTGAGTACAGAATAACTAAGCCCTGTGTGTCCCCACCCCAATCAGGGCCGACCCACTGCCTGCTGATTTTTATCTGTTTTAATTAGGATCTTAATTAATCATGGTGTCCTCCAGCTGTTTAGGCTGCATTTTTGTCAAATATAAAATCTTAATAGGGAATTTTCTAGAGGGTGTAATAAAAGTAGTAGTTCCTTTTGCAGTTTTGTTTATTTGCACCCCTTAAATGAATTCTAGGAAATGAAACTTTATAGCAGTAAAACAGTTACTGCTTCAGGCTAAAAAATAAACTGACATATATTGAATAAATGACTGTTTTGTTTGATTACCCATATTTACATACACAGATTGCAATTTCTCCTGAACAGGCAATTGGGAAATGCCTAAATGTGAGCCTCTGCCAGCCCATCGCAGAGCGCTGGACCACACACACGCGCCCATTACAGGCAAACTACACACCAGTTAGCCTAACAGCATGACTTTGGAGTATGGGAGGAACCAGCAGTTCCCGATGAAAACCCACATGACACTGGGAAAGCATGCAGATGCCACACACACGGCGTGTGTCATCTAAATGAGAATAATCAAGACATGACATAAATTAGCACATGCTGGCCATCCAGAAGATCAGGGTTGGGAGTCGCAGAGATAACTTATACGGCCGATTCCCGTGCCCACTGGACTAGACCGTGGCTGGAGCCTGGCAGTCGAGTAGGCCGAGGGCCCAGAGGGCGGTACCTGGTTGGGGGAAGTGTCAGCGCTACCCACTGGCGAGGGAGAGCGGCAGGCAGGCGGGGAGGAGATCTCGCTGTTGGTGCCTTCCTCCCCGGACTCCTCGGTGACGGGGGAAAGCAGCGTGTGACAGCGGCCTGCGGTCATCTGACCACGGGGATGGGGCGCATTAGCGGGGAGGGCGGACGGGCGACCCAGCAAGGCACAGAGAGAGAAGCGTTAGTGGCAGGGGG